AAAAAAAAAACCTAACAACTATAGAGAACTAGCTTAGCAAATGCATAGAATTAACCTAGCAACTACAGAGAACTAACCTAGTTGGAAGGTTAGTTGTCAACGGTCAACGTCAGAAGTTAACGCTGGAAGTCAACGGTCAACGCTGGAAGTCAACGGTCAACTCTGGAAGTCAATGGTCAACGTCGGAGTCAACGGGTCAAAATAATATTTAAATAATTAAAATAATAAAAAAAAAAGAGTAAATCTTGGCCACACATGATGTACCAAATCTTGTGGCTAAAAATGAGTCTCACGTCCTCACTTTAAAAAAACGGCCGCATTTGAACTAATATATATATTATAGATTAATTTACAGGTTAGCGCTAAGTTAACGTCACGACAAAAAAATGAAGTTGATTAAAAGAGGTGAAAATTAGATTATCTAATTCTATATTCTTTTAGGCCTTAACGGACAAGCTCTATGGAAATGACTCATTTATAGCTTATCAGTAATTTTCGAGCTTATAGCTTATGACTTATAGCTGAAAAGCTAGCTTATATGATAAAGGTTTTTGGTAAAATTAGCTGATAAGCTAGCTGGAATAAAAAATTCAACTAGCTTATTTGAAAAGCTACCTAAAGAAGCTTATCAAATAAGCCTCACCTTTTTAAAAAAGTTCGTCCTACCAAACAAGACTTATTTGAATATATGAAGCTTATAAGCTAACTAAATAAGTTATAACATAGTTTATTTGTCTACTAAACATAGCCTTAATATATCTGTAGGCGCACGGCACGAGCTACTTTTCTTTTAAAAAAAAATTAGCATCGCACGAGCTATTTAACGGACAAGCTCTGTGAAAGTAATTCATTTAATATCTCTTTACTACGTATCTATATATATATATATATAAACAGATTTACCTTTTTAAAAAATGAAAACTAAATTTTTTATCAAACCTCTTTCTTCATTAAATGTTTTCTACTTTATGGAAACTTTTTTTTTTCCGCATTAACTAAAATCCAATCTATATGAGTTGTTACTATGTTCAAAAATTGCGGCTTTACACGTGAATTTTTTTGGAAAAAATTCAAATCTGCAACAGATTTTTAACAAAAAAATCCAAGCAATTCGTACAAAAAAATCTTATAAAAATATGTTAATTAATACAGGAAAATTGAAATTGTTGAGATATTTCAAATCGAACAACAGATTTTTAACAAAAGAATCCAACCAAATTGAACAAAAAACCTAAACCAACAAAAAAAACCTAATATTGAAAAATCTTAAAAACCCAATAAAGCAAAAATAAAAATCCCTAACATATAAAAAAACTATAAGATAATAAACAAAATTTCTTTTTCGAGCAAAGAAACGAATGATTCTTTTTTAAGAATCATAATAATCGTTAAACAATAATACAAAATCGATCAAAAACATAAAGATTCAAAATGAATTCTAATCTTCATTTGAGCAGGTTTAAAAAAAATGTGAAGAACAACCTAAGATTGATATGATAAAATACATTGTATTCGAACAAAATTTATAAAATAAATCTATCTACCAAACCTAAAATGTGAAATAATTTTCAGGTTCGGTAAAAAAACAATAAATTCCGACCAGAAAAAATGAAAGAAGATGAATGAAAAAAAAAATGTTTGCGGAGAAATTAGGAGAGCAAGCTCTTGCCCGATAGTTCCGATTTTGTTTATACTAACCCTCAAATCCACCGTCGGATCTTCTTTTATGGTCGATGAAATTTAGTCTTGGGCTAATAAAATTCCAATTTTAATGGGTTAAATATAAGATAATGTAATGGGCTGGCGTTATTTGGGCCGATTAAAACAAATATTGTTCTATATAATATCAAGCCCCTTTAATATTACCACACTATTAAATATTAGCCCATTTAAATAGTATTAATTTATATCTTATTATAAATATTTTTAAAATTATTTTTGATTAGTTATAATTTAATATATATTTTATTTAAATGTATATCTTAATTTCAAAATTCTTTTACCTTCGTAAATATAAAAATAAATAGAATTCAAAAAATATGTAAAATCTATTACTATAAAAAAAGGGAGGTATTTACTTGAATCAGATAATATTTGGATTTATCTTCTAACTTGATCAGTAATTTGACAAATGTTGGACATTGAATAAAACTACATGATAGATTTACATAAACTACAACAATTAAGTTTATATGTTGAGAAATATTAGGAACATATATATATCGTATATAGGATACCACTGGAAAAAATATAATAAATTATGTTTAAATGGTGATTAAACTATATTATATACCAAATTTTGTGCAATGTGTGGTATATGTCTGTTATTTAAGGTATAATAATATTACTTATATAAAAAGTATTATGTAAAGAGAGGTTAATAGGCTGTAAATATGAGCTTCTTATGCATCGCACAAGATACGCACTAGTTATAACTAAATAAGATGATAGTTAATTAGACGAAGAGGGGTTAGCGCAGTGGAGCGTACCTTTGCTCGACGTGTACCATGTCCCGAGTTCGAGTCACCCGCGGGAATTGAGGAACCAGTATTGATCCCCTTTTAAAAAAAAGATGATAGTTAATTATTACTGTAGCTGCCATGTGGCGAGCTCCTGCTAATCTAACGTGTTGTGCTCCGATTAAACAATGTATAATGATTGATAAAAAGTTGACCATGTGATTATTTTATTTGTTTTGTTCATTAATATGTTGAGTAAACCGCCCATGGCCATGATCCAATGGACACAATATATCATTTTATAATTAAATAAATTTATTCATCTATTTATTATGAGTACTGGTTGACCTTACTATATAAATAGGCTTCAACCTCAGTCTCCATCACCATATCAGTAAGAAGTAAACAACTTAATAAGTCAATGGCTATTCCTGTAATTGATTTCTCAAAGCTTGATGGTGAAGAGAGAGCCAAGACTCTGGCTCAGATTGCTCATTGCTGTGAAGAGTGGGGATTTTTTCAGGTAATTACACACACACACACATTTGGATAGACAGCTTACACAATCTTTGGAAAATCGTTAGACGAGTCGACCCGTTATGTCAAATGTATACTCATATTATGTCACAAAGTGTCATACTTTTATTTATATATAAATATGACTGTTTAACTGTTTGGTCTGCCAAACTGTTAAACAGTAATATATTAGTTATCAGTTTTGCTACGAAACTAACAGTTGGTTCCATGGTTAAAAACGAATTAACCGTGCAATTTCCGGACCATTGACAGCTGATCAACCATGGGATCTCTGAGGAGCTGTTGGAGAAGGTGAAGAAAGTTGCATCCGAATGCTTCAAACTGGAAAGAGAGCCGAACTTCAAGAACTCGAAGCCCGTCAAACTCTTGAACGAAATAATCGACAAAAAAAGCGACGAGAAATTAGAGAATGTGGATTGGGAGGACGTTTTCATGCTCTCAGATGACAATGGTGATCAGTGGCCTACCAAAACCCCTGGCTTCAAGTAATTATATATGCACAATTACATTTATTTAATTTTACTATATATTTTTATTTTTCATAATATTCATGAGACCAAAATTAATTAATTAATTTCCAATAAAACAGGGAAACCATGGAGGAGTACAGATCAGAGCTGAAGAAGCTAGCTGTCCGAGTCATGGAGACCATGGATGAGAACTTGGGCCTGCCCAAAGGCTACCTCAATCGAGCCTTCAACGCCGGGGCCCAAACCGGCAACAAGGCCTTCTTCGGCACAAAGGTCAGCCACTACCCTCCGTGCCCCCAACCCGAAAGGGTAAATGGGCTTCGGGCCCACACGGATGCGGGTGGGGTCATCCTCCTGTTCCAGGACGACGAGGTGGGGGGCCTCCAGATCCTGAAGGACGGTGAGTGGGTCGACGTGCAGCCCATGAAAAATGCCATAGTCATCAACACCGGCGATCAAATCGAGGTGTTGAGCAATGGGAGGTATAAGAGCGTGTGGCATCGGGTTCGGGCCATGGGGGCTGGGAACAGGCGGTCTATAGCCTCGTTTTATAACCCGTCGTTCGAGGCCAAGATCGGGCCCGCCGAGGGATTGATGGCCCAGTATCCGGAGTTTGTGTTCGGGGATTATATGTCGATTTATGCTGAGCAGAAGTTTTTAGCTAAGGAGCCAAGGTTTCAAGCTGTGAAAGCTATGTAGAATAATATCAATTATGGTTTTTTTTTCCCCTTGTGTTTGTGTGATGATATTTATGTACGGCCTGTGACTTGGTGTTAAATTCTAAGCTACATGTTTGAAAGGAAAAAATATTGGAGCTGAGAATGGGTTTGCATTTGACTATATCAAGTTTGTTGTGGGTATTTCTCCTATATAGGATTGTGAATGGATATGATAAATGTCAAGGATGTGGATTGACGATGTTTGTAATGTGTTTAACTACTAGTGTAATCTTTTATGTAATGTGTTTATTTTCTCTTGTAATCTTCTGTGTACTCTTATATTTTGTGCCTATTTTATGTTGGAAATTAGTGTATAATGCAATTGTGTATTTAATGAAATTTTGTCTATCTTATTTTAATAGAAAGCACAATTGATAATGAATTAGACTGTTAAACTCAAAAAAACTCAACTCTACAACTCAACCATTTCATGGTTAAATGAAATGCATAAGCTGATCGCAACCATCAATATAATTCAAAGGCAATGCATAACTGAATTCTCAAAGGCAATGCATAGCTGATCTCAAAGGCAATGCAAAACTGAATTCTCGAAGGCAATGTATAGATGATCACAACCATCACATGCAGACATTATTTTATCTCAACACAAATTGATCACAACCATGATAAACTACCACTATTTTATCAATTGCCATTCATATATCAAATTAACAAAGTAAAAGCAGAACATAAACTCATGATAACAATCACAACATATGTCTTTCATTAACTGAACAAAACAAGAGCACAAAACAAGTGTTTTACATTCACCAAGCACAACATTGCTATTGTCCAACTATACTGCCATTTAGCTTTCCAACAAAGTTACAAATATCCAAAAAAATCTAAATTGTTCATCAAAATACCATTGCACGGTCTAACCATTCACATATCAATTGTAATACATTTTTTTCTGAATCTAGAATTTTCCTCCTTCTCATTTTTGATCTGCTTCAACTTCTGAGATGAGTTACCCAAAGGGGAGTCTTTTTCAATCCTTTCAAACATTGTTGGAGTTCTATCTTTTGCAATGATGGCCTCCAACTGCTTACCTCTAAAGTATGAAGCAAAATCATCTTGACCTCTCATTTGCAGTTGTTCAAGTGGTGTGGGTCCTTTTGTCATATGCGGTTCTGGACTTGCAAAATGTCTTGTGTCAATTGTGACACCAAACCTTCATCATCTCAGTCTGTTTCTTCCACAAATATAGCAGGTGGTGTCATGTTTGGCCCTTCTTTTTGTTCAAGCAACAACACATAATCAGAGTACCATTTTTCACAATGAAAATCAATGAATTACAAATAAAATTAACAAAGTAAGGAAGTAAGTAATACATGTTTCTCCATGGTGGAGGTGGAACCTTGTTTCTGTTCAAGAAACAACAAGTTGTTCATCAGAAACATTTGTTAATAATGAAATTAAATGAAAAACAAAGAAAAAAAAGAATAAAGTACAACCTGCTTATCCATGTTTGAACCTGTTTCTGTTCAGCAAATAACAAATTTTCAATCAGTCATTTTTTCATAATGAATAAATATGAATAACAAAGAAAGAATAATATAGTAATATATGTTTCTTTCCTCGGCAAAATTTCAAATTTGGTCCTATAACTTGGCCATTGTCTAAAAAATCACCCCGATATTGACCACTTTCAGTTTAGGTCCTATAATTTGTCGATTTCATCAAGTTTGGCCCTTTTTATCCGCACCCTCGATTAAAAAGTGACGTGGCATGACGTGTTATTTTTTTAATCTTACATGACGAGATTATGATCTACGTGGCACGTCAATTTTGGTCCTATAATTTGTCGATTTCATCAATTTTGGTCCTTTTTTTATGCCACGACACTTTTTAATCCAGGGTGCGGATAAAAAAGGACCAAAATTGATGAAATCGATAAATTATAGAACCTAAATTGAAAGTGGTCAATATCGGGGTAGTTTTTTGACAATGGCCAAATTATAGGACCAATTCCGAATTTTTGCCTTCTTTCCTCCCCTTTCTTTGGCCTCATTTGCAGCAGGCTTAGCTTCTTTGCCCTATTTTACAACGTTACCCCTCTTCATTTTCTACTGAAAAGTATGAAAACATATAAGTGTAATTTAGCTAAGGTAAATTAATTAAAAAATACACTATAATTTTTCATGATAATTTGTTCAATTCTATCTAGGCTGTGAACCACTATACTCAAAGTTTATTCTTTAAGTATACATCTTACAAAATTTATTCTCAAAGAATGGATGTCCTAACTGTCATACACTCGACTTCCTATCCCGTAACATGGATATAATCGGTTTCTTTAGTGGAATGAAATATTATTCAAGTGTGAATGGTGTAGCTAGATCTTCGCTTACAGTTGCATTCACATTTGAGGAGTCATTATTTAACACCTTCTTTCGATCTCTGCTATAGCTATAAATAGACCAAGTCTTTAAGCTCTCATCAACAAAAATTCTATGCATTGTGCTGAAAAAAATTAATATAAATCAAATTTTCAACAATAAAACTTAACTTTTTTCATGAATTATAGTGCTTAAACTTAAACTATAAATACGTGAAATATCATATTTTGTTTGTTTATTTCTTTTTTTAAGTTCGAGGGTGATACGAATTCTAAATTCTTAAAATGTTGATGGTAAGCATATGATATCTATATTATAAGTAAACACATTTTTATATGAAATGAGCTTTTCGACGTAAACTACAAAGTCGTTATTTACATTTAAAATCGAGTCCCCCTAAGTGAAATTTCTAGAACCGTCACTGCTTACATAGACGGAAGAGTTGAATGAAGGAACGTGAAACTATTTCATAGATAATTTTAAACAACATTTTGTTTTGCCATATAAGGTGAGACACTCCACACAAACCACACATTGTAACACAAAACTTGGAGGCCATGAAACCCAATGTTCTTTGCATTATATAGCATGTATATGCATGTAAATCTTACCAATAAATATCAATGAAGCTTTTGGCCCACCCTCTAACAACAACTCATGCACCTTAGTAAATTGAGCTCTATCTCTCTCAAACCCACCAGCAGGCTTAAAAGACTGATTACATGGCACCCAAAGGTCTAGTGATAGGTTCATTTGGCATTGGGAAAAATCATGATCCTTTTCTGTGAAATCAGCATATCAGATGCTTCTAGATAATTTGGAAAACAAAAAAAGAGATGTACTGTGCAGGATCATCTAACAAGTTTCTGGAGAAAATGTGGAAGAGAGTTTGGAAGCTGCCTATCAAACAGAAATTAAAAATGTTTATCTGGAGATGCTGGCATGGATTTCTGGGCACAAGCACACAGCTGATGAAAAAAGGAATACAAGTAGATTGCATTTGTACTTCTTGTGGAGAGGAGAGGGAACACCAAGACCATATCTTCTTCAAGTGTCCAAGGGCCATTACATGCTGGAAATTACTAGGGATTACTTAGACAGCTGTGGAAAGAGATAAAGGTGACTTTAGCAGTTGGTGGAGTGAGGAATACCTGGGTTTTCAGAAAACAACAAAAGCTGGAGAAGCAGATAGTAGAGGAAGCTCGAGGAGAGAATGGCTGGAATTTCTCAACATTCAAGAGAAGACTCTTATACATGTGTCTGAGCAGAGCAGTGAGAAGCATACCAGACTTGAGGAGCAATTTTGTTTAGCAGTAGGACAGAGATTCTTCACTGTCGCTACAGGCCCTCATGCTGATGGATGGAAGTTGAGATGTGTGGCTTTTGAAAGGCACAACAAAGTTCAAGAATGGGAATCTCAAATTCAAGTTGATGGACATCAGAAAGAAGTGGACTTAATTGCCTTAAGATGGGGATTACAACAGATCAAAACACTAAACTGGCCTGAGGTGATTTGCAGAGTGACAGAAGAACAACCCAAAGAGGGGCTGCATAAGTGTATTGATAATTCTTCTATGTCTGTTTTGTTTCTTGTGTATTTGTTTCAAATTGTTTATTTTCAGACTCTCGTATTGGTTAATTTAGTAGACTTCTTAGTAGGGGGTTGAGGTACTCTTCCCTTGTGTAGTGCCATCTTAGCAGGTTGTAACTAAAGGTGGTACGTGTGTAAACCATTTGGTTTCGAGATGTATCATTTATTGAGGTAATGAAGTTATTTCGATTGTCGCTTGAAAAGAAGAAAAAAACATCGACTATGTAGAAGCACAACATAAAATTGACTTTGATTTATATATAAATTTCTCAACTGGAAACAACGTTAAGATTCAACCAATGTCAACAACTAAAATGATTTCAATATAATGCATATGCATTTACTCTTGTGTTCTCGACTCATTCCGCATTTTGGCTACAAATATATACTCAAAGATAAGTTCGCACTCTACCATTCTATGTTCCCGTATTTATGATATGATCCCAACACAAATCGATATATTCGTAAATTCAATATTTTGTGTCCAATTATACTGTTGTAATGGCTGGTATCCAAAATTACCGGCATTACTCGTATTTTAATCATTGCCCCACACTGTTGCCTGCAATTACGTCGTTTCGGCTAAACTTGAAGCGACGTGTTTGTATTCAAGCGACAAAATTGTGAAGGTAACCATAAAATTGGCGGTGGTCAACAAGGAAATACTATACTAAATTAGGTAAACATGGCGTCAAGGGATGGGATATGATTCTTTTTATAGGATTAAGAGTGTATAGATAAGATGAGAGTAAATAATTTCAGTACGTTGCCATGTGGCGTGCTCCTGCTAATCTAACGTGTCAAGATCTGATTAAACAATGTATAGTGACTGATAAAAACGTTGACCGTTGGATTATTTTATTTATTTTGTTCATTAAAATGTTGTGCAAACCTATCCAATAAATTAAAATAAATTTTATTGATCATCTATTTATGAATACTGGTTGATCTTCCTATATAAATAGGCTTCAAGCTCAGTCTCCATCACCATATCAGTAAGAAGTAAACAACTTAATAAGTCAATGGCTATCCCTGTAATTGATTTCTCAAAGCTTGATGGTGAAGAGAGAGCCAAGACTCTGGCTCAGATTGCTCATTGCTGTGAAGAGTGGGGATTTTTTCAGGTAACTTTTGTTTTTACTCTTATTTTTACTGTTATATTTAGGGGAAATGCTACAGGACAGGTCCCGTTACATAACCATTCCGTCGGGTTTGTAACCGTTAAATCAAATATCATTGACGGTGTTACAAACCTCGACGGAATGATTTCGTAACTAGTATCTCTCATTTATTTATATATATATACACACACTTGGATAATTTGGATATGCAGCTTACATATTATGTTTTGTGTGGAATGGTTTAACCGTTAGACAGTATCGAATTTTATATCTTAATAACAAAAATAAATACTTATGTTATAAAGTGTCATACTTTCATTTTATCTATAATTGTTTAACCGTTGTACTGTTATAAATTACTATAGTTGTTATTGTTAGTGCATAATTAAAACAGTACTTTGATGATTTGTACATTATGCATGTACATCTTAATTTGTATTTGTTCAATTAAATTTCTGATAAATAAAAATGAATTGACCGCGCAATTACTCGACCATATCGACAGCTGATCAACCATGGGATCTCTGAGGAGCTGTTGGAGAAGGTGAAGAAAGTTGCATCCGAATGCTTCGAACTGGAAAGAGAGCCGAATTTCAAGAACTCGAAGCCCGTCAAACTCTTGAACGAAATAATCGAGAAGAAAAGCGACGAGAAATTAGAGAATGTGGATTGGGAGGATGTTTTCTTGCTCTCTGATGATAATGATGATCAGTGGCCTACCAAAACCCCTGGCTTCAAGTAGTTATATATGCACAACTACATTTATTTAATTTTATTATTTTTATTTTTTCATAATATTAATCACTTTTAATGATATTAATATTTCATGAACCAAAAAAAAAAAAAAAAAACTTTATTTTAGTAAGAGCTGTTATCTTAATTACATGATGAAGTATCCTTTTGCAGTTTCATGCACGTTGACGTTGAGACATATGACAACTGAGAGGGAAAAAAAAATAAAATAAAATTATTATACTAAATGATAAACTTAAATATATTTCAAATATATTGTTAGCATCATGAGACCAAAATTCATTAATTAATATCCCATAAAACAGGGAAACTATGAAGGAGTACAGATCCGAGCTCAAGAAGCTAGCCGTTCGAGTCATGGAGACCATGGATGAGAACTTGGGCCTGCCCAAAGGTTACATCAATCGGGCCTTCAACGCCGGGGCCCAAACCGGCGACAAGGCCTTCTTCGGCACTAAGGTCAGCCACTACCCTCCGTGCCCCCAACCCGAAAGGGTAAATGGGCTTCGGGCCCACACAGATGCTGGTGGGGTCATCCTCCTGTTCCAGGATGACGAGGTGGGGGGCCTCCAGATCCTGAAGGACGGTGAGTGGGTCGATGTGCAGCCCATTAAAAATGCCATAGTCATCAACACAGGCGATCAAATCGAGGTCTTGAGCAATGGGAGGTATAAGAGCGTGTGGCATCGGGTTAGGGCCATGGGGGCTGGGAACAGGCGGTCTATAGCCTCGTTTTATAACCCGTCGTTCGAGGCTAAGATCGGGCCCGCCGAGGGATTGGTGGCCCAGTATCCGGAGTTTGTGTTCGGGGATTATATGTCGATTTATGCTGAGCAGAAGTTTTTGGCTAAGGAGCCAAGGTTTCAAGCTGTGAAAGCAGTGTAGAATAATATCAGTTATGTCTTTTTGGTTTTTTTTTTTTCCTTATGTTTGTGTGATGATAATAATGCAAGGCTTGTGACTTTGCGTGAAATTTAAGTTGCATGTTATATGAGTCAACTCAGGTGGTCTTTATCTTTTGTTGAAATAAATTTTATATGAACTTTACCAAAATTGTAAGTAGCTTAATTAATGTATTTTGGAAGTTCAAGTGAGCAAAATCGAGCCGCACCATGGGATTCGGTGCGGTTCGATTCGTTTTTTTAATGTAAAAAAATTTCGGTTCGATTTCGATTCGATTCGGTTTTTTTTAATGTAAAATAAAAAAAATAAAAATTGGTTCGATTTCAGTTTGTTTTTCCAACATTGCGGTGCGGGGAAATTATAATTTTTCATAAGTTCAGTTTTCGATTTTGTTGGGTTCGTCCAATTTTGCACGGAACCGTACCTAATTGAATAAAATATAAAGAAAAACTTAAATAAAACTGAAAACCGATTCGAACCGTGCATTGTGGCAGGGGCGAAAGCACTTGGGGGGTCGGAGAGGCGCCGGCCCCTCTAAAAAAAATAATTAGGGGTAGGGGATTTTGCTGGAACTGGAAGATTTTCCGTTGAACGCGCATGTTGGGCCCTCCCCGGTTTCATGCGGTACATACATGACCGAAGGGGCGCCACCGGTTTTGTCGTAAAAATTTCTTTTAAAGGCAAATTGGCCCCTCCCCGAAACGGGATCCTGATTTCGGGACAAGAAGAACTATAACAGCAGCATAATTTAATAACTTTTTCATTTTTATTATATTTTGAGTTGGTTAATTAGCCGACTTGCGGTGTACCGAAATGACTCAAAAACCGAGTCGATCATTACCGAAAAATACTTTTATGAAAGTACGGGAAGCGGAGAGTGCGTTGGTGGCATCGATTTATGATTTTGAGGTCCCGGCCATTTATTTTGGGTAGCCCGAAGTTGAGAGAAAAATAACAGTGGCGGTGATTTTATTGTCATTTTCATGTCTGGACTTCAGGCAACCGTCGGCCCTCGTTAGGCGTGCTGAAAATTAGCGGGAGTGCTTTCTTGAAAGCACGAGAACAGTAGAAGTCGTTCGTATAATTTATTTCACGTTTAGAAGTTTCGAGCATTTATTTTGAGAAGCTCGAAGTCGAGTGCGCATAATAGAAGAATAAAAAGCCCTTTTGCGGGGTTCCGTAAGGTTGCGTGTGACCTCGGTTTAGCGAGAATCGAGTTGGAGCGTATAGACAATTCAAGCACGATTCCATACGGACAAATTTCGCATTTTTCGGAGTTCCAATCATTTATTACTGGAGTTTGAATTTCTCGTTAAATAGTATCAAAAGGAGCAAATTTGTCGGGGAAGAGTTCGATCGTTCGAGGCTCAGCTTTTCGTCTAAAGAAAGGAGGTATAATTTTTGATTATTATTATAATTGAGTCCGAGATTTTATTAGTATAAATTCGAGAATTTTTCGAGTTAAAACAATTTTGTTTAAGTATACCAGTTTAATTTCGGACTTAGTTTGATTTTTAGAAAAATCTCTAGAGTATTTCTTTATATCCTGCGAAAATTTTTGAGAGCGTCCACAAAAGCCCTTTGAGCGCCCTTCCGATGCCGGAGTGGGGGTGATGCGCCGGGGGATAGCCGGAGTGGGGGTGGTGCGTTGCGGCAAATTTGGCCCTCCCCGAGATGACCGGCTGGTTTCGCCACTGCATTGTGGTGCAGTTCGGCTTGGTTATTTTAGTGTAAAAAAGTTCGGTTCGGTTTCGTTTCGGTTTTTTTACTAGGTTGCGATTGTGTTCAGTTAATTTTTTTGCTAGGATAGATTTTGTCAACTTGTTACGTGGATGACATAAAAATCCGTGTCAATAGAATACTCGGACACAAAATCGATCCACAATCCCTAAAATTGATCACTCTTTACTCAAATTGCAATAAGTAAATTGGAGCCGAGATTATATTGCAATTACCCAAAGATTGAGATAAAATTGCCAAACCTAAAAATGTTAAGATTTATTTAGCAATTAGCCCTTAAAAAAATAATAATGACCTTAACCAAGGGCAAAAATGGAAAACGGTAATCAGCTCTATATAATAACCTTAACCCTCAACCAGTTTTTCAGTATCCATTAGCCGGAAAAAAAAATGAGGCTACAGAGATCATCGGGATTTTCACCAAAGGGCGGTTGCTCGTCTCCGGACGCCGATGATTTTTTTTCGAAAATCAACAGCCCTTTATTTTCTGGAAAAAAAAAAAGGAAAAATGAAGAAAATAAAAAAGAAAAATATAATAATTATCACTTCGCTTTCTCAGTCACTCACACATACACACATACATACTGTGATTCTTCTTCTTCTTCTTCTTACTGGAAGATCGATATTTAAGGCTGTGTTTGGATACAAATTTTATCTTCAGATCTGCTATTGGGTTTTGGGGATTAGGGTTTTCGGAGGCTGTGATGATACCTGGTTGGTTGCTTGGTTTCTTCTGAATTTCAGGGCTAATGGATCGGGGCAGAGGAAAAAATCCGACCCGTATCTTGGCGGGGCAGGCCGGACGGCGTTGTGGCTTTGTCGCATCGCAACCGGTTTATTATGCAGCCATGGCGGTGTTGCTTTTTCCTCCTGTCTCTTTAAACAGATCTGAGCTTCCAATTTTTTATTTTTTTTTCCTTTTTTCGTTTATTTTGTTATGGGGTTTTCGAACTATTTTTTTTTTTTTAATTACGAAATTATTTGATTTTCTTTTTGTTTGTCAAATTCATAAATTTGATGCCATTTAGTTAAAATTTATGGTATTAGAAACGAAAATATATGACTTTATAATATTAAAATGTTGAAATAAACTTCCATTTTACATTGCTTTCCTTTTAGTTAGTTGTGGAAATAAACAATGGCAATTTAAATTTAAATTTTTATATTTTATAAAAATGATTTAATGAAGTATAAATTTTCCATCTACTAAGTCATATTAATTATATATTATTAATTATATGAGTGGTTTAATTAGAATGTATGATCAGATTAATATGTCAATTATTCTTTTCGATTCATGTTTTTTTTTTATTAGTATATATACTCACTACAATACGTAAAAGGTTATACTTAAAAGACTTAATTACACAAAATCCTCACTTTTTGTGTAATTTCAAATAAAATTTAACTTTTTTAGCTTTGCAAATAAATATCAAATTTTTATTATATGCAAGGTTTTAAATAGCGGGCTAAAACTTTGATGGCACTGTAGTTATAGCGGAGCTATAGCGGGGATTTAGCGGTTAAATTGCACATGAATACAAATAGCGGCACGTTGCCAAAAAAGTTATTTCTCAAATAGCGGCAACTTTAGCGAGCTATTTATTTCCTTGATTATATGTTAGCAAATCTGTTTCAAAATCATTTTCCGGTCACTCTTGTTGATATGTTCGATTAAAACACTAAAATCGTCTAAAATCACTTGAAATCGCTCCCTCTGCTCAATTTCCAGAATTTGGAGGTGAGCTCTTAAATACATTCGGAGTGTTGGGGTGAACTCGATTTTTAGGGATGAAGAATCGCGCCATGGAGAAGAGAAGAATCACTGCAATTTTATTTTTCTTTTTTTCAATTAGAGTAGAATAACCCAATCTTTATGAAGATTATGGGCAAAAAAACATGGTGATAAAATCATATTTTTCAATTTGTACGGAACTTTAATTTTAGTTAATTTGTTGGCATATGATGTGACAAAAACATGGTTAGGAGTTTCAAATATTGATGTCACATAAGTCTCATAAGTGTCACGTAAAATTTCTGATCGAACACGTCAACAAGGATTGGTCGGAAAAAGGTTTTGAGACAAATTTGCAACACATAATAAAAATTTGGTATTTGTTTGTAAAAATAAAAAGATTGAGTTTTATTTGCAAAACACGAATAATAGAATTTTATGTGCAATTAAGCCTACTTAAAATTATATTAAATAATGTTATATTATATTTACAATCTATATTTTCTTTACACATATTTGTGCATTACTTGTTGGAAAGATTTGCATGACGTTGCTTACATTTTCGTACTTGCCCCTATTTACCTTTATTTTCTTCGACTTTCTTAAACGTGTACCATTTTGCTTCAAAACACGATATGACGATAAATATATGTTATCCACATCAAATAAGGGTGCCGTGTTCGAGAACAAGTCTTTTCGGAGACGTTGCTTACATTTTCGTATTTGCCCTTATTTATCCTTATTTTCCTCGACTTTCTTAAAAGTGTATCATTTTGTTTCAAAATACGATAAGACGACAAATATATGTTATGTCGAGAGCCAACTAGCCCGATAGACTTACACAACGCAAGATTGGGAGATGCATCACATCATTTTAATAAGATTGATCTAGTTTTAATCATCTTCTATTTCACTTGAGTTGATATCACCATATCGGATACTTTGGGGCGATTCCAACATGTTAAAAACGTTTTTGTGGGCAAGTTTTTGTTACTCTTTTTAATTAAAATTTAACTTAAATTTAATTTATTATACATATTCTTCTTAATATTACTAATATAATTAAATAATATCATTCATTATTTTACACATATTAATTTTACTTCACTATGCATCACTTCACATATTTTTAATTATTTATCATTTTTAGTAATCTATCTCTCTTACTTTTTTTATATCAAACTAACTTTAATCATTAAAATTTAAATATTATTCAAATATAAACTCATAATTAAGTCCTCTACATAATCAACTTTATTCAGAATTACTTCCCCTTAACTAATAAATTCAACTAAAATTGATTTTATTTATAGCTAATCTCCCCGTTTGTATTTTGTTTCGTTTTTGCATTATACAAAATTTCTATGAAATCATCAAATGGTTTTTTATGGAGCCATCCACCACTTATTGTATTGACACCTGTTCAAATTGTATTTATTGTAAAGCACGTGGCAATACAATATTGGTGAATAAGTGTGAATGACTCCGTAAGTCAAACCATCCGATG